GGATTATTTGCGCTGACTAGAAGCAGCTGGTCGTGAGTCTTATTAACCGCCTTTGGCCGTGATTTTCCAATGGTGTGGTGGTTGAGGATTTCACTTGTGATCCCTTGTAGTTCCATATTCCTAATTCTTTTCATTCCACAAAGGTAGAACGCTGAAGCATCCGGAGTTGACCAGTCGTTTTTGATTGCGCCATGCATTCGACTCTATCCTGAATCGACAATTGAACGCATATTTCGCTTATACTATGACTCGCTGGGAAAGCTCGGCAAAATAATGTCAAATCCTAGCGGAGAAATCTAGTACCAGTGTGGGATTCCCCTGGGACGGGGAACGGCCTTTGATCATGATTCTCCAATGGTGTGGTGATTGAGGATTTCACTCGAGCCTACCTTCCACTCATCTGAGTTCTTCCTAAATCAGGCGGTTTGATTAGTGTAATATGAATGACAGCAGGATTATTTGCGCTTACTGGAAGAAGCTAGAATGAAAGTTGTCTCCGCCGGCTTTGACGTCGTGATTCTCCAATTTGTGTGGGGAGTGAGCGATAATTTTTTCGTGTTTCTAGTGAACTCCACATTCCATTCTTCATTCTTCAAAGTCTAAAAGAAGAAGCATTCAGAGTTGACCAGTCGTTTTTGATTGCGCCATGCATTCGACTTCCATTCCAAATCGGCAATTTAACGCATATTGCGCTTGTACTATGACTCGCTGGGAAAGCTGTGTGCAGACTAGGGTTTTTATCCTGGCGAAGAAAACTCGTATCAGTGTGGGCTCCCCTGGGATCGAGGGATGATTGGCCTGAGTGATATTTGGTCTGGAACTTCAGCTGCGGAACGTTATTATGGTGACAGCGCCTGCTTGTCGCTGATCGCTCAAGCTTTGCTAAGTCGTATTTTTGGCTACTTTTTAGCTACTAACTTGCAGTAGCTTAAGCGCTACCAGTCGATGATGAACTAATTCAGAGCTTTCACCCTCTCAGACATGTGTGGTGTCAATTAACCCACTTGAGGGTTAATAAATAATATCTAGCGTAGGTAGGTCAATATAAAAAGGCGGAAAGAACCAATCAGGTAATGAAGAATTCTTTCTGCTGCTACTCCTGCGTAATAACCAAGCTTAACAAAGAAATACTGTGTTACTAAAAGCTCTCTCACTAAATTCAAGACATTGGCGCCCTCACTCGAAACATATGTAGAGCCTAGCTGTGGCATAACGTCCAACTATCGCTGAAGGACTTGAGCCAGTATTCTCTTGCGTCTGTTTATAAGCGGCGCAAACCCAGATGTTGCAGCTGCTTAAAATCGGCCGCAGGGAAGTATTGGCTAAGTGGGCGAAACTCAGAGGGGACTCTTAATGTTGGACGATTCTTTAATGATGAAAATAAAAGGGAAAAGAATTCGAAAAAAGATCGAGAATTGCAAATTGAAAATGACGATGCTCAATCATTTCCTGCTCATGGAGCAGTAATATAGGAATTGGCATTGTTAGCGATTGGCTTTGCGTATACACTTTTCATACGTACCTTTTCGTTCCTCCTTCCATGGCGTCTAAAACAAATCATTCAAGTAAAAAATATGATCTACTCGAAGTTTGTGCAGGGATGCATTTTGTCGGCTTGCTATTTGTGGAAAGCATGGTCCCAGAAATGCATCCCCTCCTCCAAGGTTGAATTATGGTGATTAACCCATTCGTGACAATGGCAGCCACCGGTGGCTGACAAAGATCTCACTCGGGACAATGGTATCCACCGGTGGCTGCCGTGTTTCAAATGGAATTTGGAAAGTTTTCTTCCTGAAAGAATCTTCATACCCTCATTGTTAAGGAATGAAGCGTGCTCTACCGTTTTCTCTGCCTACCACCTAAATTAGTTTCTAGAAGGTTGGAATTGTGGAATATAAGTTCGGTTTGGTACTGTTTACCCTTTACTGCCTCACGCTCCGGAAACTGAGCTGGATTTCTCTCGAAAATTGTAAATGAACGTTGATTTGGCTAAAAATTGCACATATGAGGTGGCTTGACCCTCTCTTTAGCGCAAAAGCTCCTGGCGCCCGCGCCACAGTCGCCGGCGCTACCATATTCGCTTGGCGGTGGCACATGGCTACAAACAGTTTCTCGACAGACGAATGCGATATTCATGTCTTTCTGAAACTACCTCTAAGGGCAAATTTTCGGCGAATTTGGTAATCCATGGTGATATGGCGTTTTCGCCCTGAACAGATGCGACATCGTATTTAACGATTCAATCCATGAGCGAACTTTTAGCCGAATCCATCAACAATTTTCGAGCAAATTCCAGCTAATTCTCTGAAAAAAGGAGAACTAAAGGGTAAATATTGAGTGCCTCGGTATTTTCCGGGTTGAGGTAGTATTACGACCGAGCGATCGACCACCCCGCTCCGTACTGGCAGTGTCATGCAGACTGAAAGGAGGGTAAGCTTTTCAGGGGATCGTTACCTTCTCTAATGTGACTTATGGTTAGCGTTGTTCACCGAAGATTAGGCTACTTTGGCCTGTTTTCTTTGGCATGTCTCAAAACTCCAGTGAAGTTGACGATGCATCTTTCTAGTCACGCATACTCACACGCACATCAGAGCATGGGAAATTGCGCGTAGACGTTTGGGCTGGCAGCATGGGCAACAAGATCATACAAAATGTATCGCCTCAGAAGCTTGTGCCGAAGTAAACACTCCTTCTTTCTATCGCTTTCCTACTGGACTTGCTGTCTCTTTTTTCTGATATTCTAGTTCCTGTGAGTTTGATAATTTTTTGAGTTGGTGGATTAAAATTCGTTGAACTGGGGGGGGAGAACGGCTCCGAGATGTAAGAGTGGTTGGGATGATTTCAGAAAGTTCAGCGGAAATCATTTACCGTCCGCTATTCAACGAATTCCCTGAGGAAGCGCCAGCAACGTCTTGATTGGTGTCGCAAGCAGGGTCGGTTCTACCGTTGCGACTTTTCGGAGATTTTTTGCGACCCTCCCTTCCAAGCAAAAATTTCAGACCCCTTCACACCTTCGTTATCATCGTCCTGTTCTTAGAGTATTTAGCTATGTACGACCGTGTGGCCCGCCGGTGGGCCACACTTTCACTCGAAGGCGACTCGTTTTTCGTCATTTATTTGGCATTTTTGAATGTTTTAAAGCTGCCCGTATACATTATCGGAAGCGCAAAACAATGTGCTCGTTACTAATAATGAAATTGTTGGAGTTTTGATGGATTTTGATGAAAAAATTGAAAAAGGATGGAGCAACGCACGCACAACGGCGGTCGTCAAAGGGTTAATTCAGAGAAACCAGTCGACACACCTGACCTCCACCCTGCTTCCGCCCCCCCCCCCAAACAGCGTATCGGGGGGGAGGGGATATACACGTACACTGAATTCCCGCTCCTTCACACTACGCCCCAAACTCACCAACGAATACTAAGATTACATTCAAGATGACCCCCCCTCCCCCGTTGTACGGTACTTGTCGCAACACAGGATTGACCCTGGTCGCGAGTCAGAGCACATCAGTTATACGCTCCCCTCTAGAGGGACGCGGACTATTTCACGTCTTTCGGGACGAGTTTTGTAAAGCAGTTGGCCGATTGCGCTGGTGATCGCCGTGGTGTTCGTTTGATGCCCCGAGCAGGACCAAGTCCGTTGTAAAGTTCAAAAGGTGTATTCGCAATATTTGGGGTGGTTATATTTTGTTTGTGTGAACGTTGTGTAGGTGTTATATGCAAAGATGTCTTGTACTTACTGTGGTTTCCAGGATTTGTGTCTGAAGGTTGGGGTCTGTGACAAGAGAGCATATGCGGATAGAATCTTTTTAGATTGTCTTTTTTTGACGTATTTGGCGAATTTCAGGGAAACAGTCGGGGTAAAACTGCGAACATTACATTTCCTTACTCACACTACATATCCAACATTCGCTACGGCCATCTTGGATGAAAAATGGGCGGCTTTGGAAAGTGTCTGTTCTCAGAGTCAAAGCTATAGAAACACGAAAAGCTACGATGGCTAAGGGTGGTGAGCAGGATTCGTGTCGAGGCCCCGTTGAAAGGAGCTCGTGAGAATTTCCGAAATCGGAGTAATATATGTACGGTTTACCCTGTCCGAGGGATCAGTCGGTAGCCGTTGCAGTCCAACGTTTCTCACACACTCGAGTGACTAATGCATGGATTCCTTCTCAAATACCTCAGCATTTCGAACTGGTAGGACTTGTACAAGGTTGCAAGGAGGCTGAGGATTATCGGAACCCAAAAATCGTGCTAACCCAGTCCTACCGTATTTTTCTAAGCTGGAGGTTTCCCAGAAGTCATGTATTGTGAAGTGTGTCCTGGACAGCTTGAGAGTTGATAACAATTTGGGACAGCGGATTAAGAGTCAATTTATTGCTGTTTACTCTTCGTGTGTGAATTTCACTCGATATCTCAACTTCTCTGCCTGCCTGGCGTGCTCCTTTGTCATTTCACATCATTGGGACGATTCTTTCTGGAAAATGTTTTTCTTTGTATTTTTAGCATTCGCTTAATATGAAAGGCATCGCTTCATCTTTCTCTCAATCTTCTTCTCTTTCTCTCTATTCATTTCTTTCTCTGTATAAATAATTTTTAACCAGTCAAAGCCCACTGTTGCTTTCTTCAGGTCAAGCAGTACGTGAAGAGCCCTTTTTGTACAATGGAAATGAAATAGCTAAGCTTATACATATAACTCGTCCTCATTTTATGGGCGAGCACAACAAAAACCATTTGTTTTACTCTTTCTGAACCATCAAGTAGACGATTAATACTTACCAAAAACCTTATCAACATCTGAATTCTTCAATTGGTTCATGCTTCTCCAATTCATTGATTGCCGTCTTCCGACGTGTTTCACTCTCTCCTTGATTCAGTGGTGTTTATTATGAAGTTGGTTTTATTGATCTCACCTGCGGAGTGTCGTTTTGCGTGACAAAGTCCCGTGTTATTGCCATGGGATCCGGAACATCCATTGTTATTAAAGAACACTTTCTCAGAATGTCGTTGGCTCGTGCCTATTTGGGAATGCAATGCTTCTGGGGAGAGTCTGCGTTTGCCAAGGTGACTTTTATTGTGCTTCATTTGTTTTACAAGCTTTTTTCTTCACCTATACGTGCGAGAACTGGTAACTATGGTGAAGGTATGACTGGAAGCTGAATCAAAGCGAAACACGGCCTCGCTGGTATCATTAGTACCATTAGGGTGAACCGACGTCTGGGATTCCTCGATCGGGAGGGTAAATGAGTCGGGTATAAATGGGACAGTGTCTACTTGGAAGAAAATAAGGACTTAGGGTGCAGAAATCTTCCAGGGAGGTTTGGTTATAATTTCCCAGAAATTTCGGAAACTCCACAGAAATTTTGGATTTTTTCCAGTTTGACAGTGCTGTATACTTTCCTGCACCCCTTCGCCTCCCTCCTCTCACCTGCTCGCCGGGCCTGTTTTGAGTAG